AGCAATTTCATATTTAAGTATTTACCACCACCACCATACAATATTCTCTAATACACGTTGTTTACTTATTACAAAGTTAGGTATATGATGTCAGTAAAATGTGACTGAAGAGGTCGTGTCGTGGCCTGAGCTATTAGTATATAATATAGACTTCAGCGCCACTACCACAAACCCTTTGAATTTGAAAAGTTAACGAGGGTGCATCAACATTGAATCTTTCGGCCTACCACTGATAAGTAGGTACCTATCTACTTTTTATTCTCACAATCTGTCTAATATCAGCGTCAGGTTACCCTAACCGGGCAGAGTAAGCAGGTAATTGAAGTAGAAAATTTGCCGCACTTGAAAAAATATAAATATAAGTATTCCAATACTATATTACAGTCCGATTTATATAGGTATTAGCTTTAGTTGGTTATTAACTCGCTGAAATAGATTTGGTAAATGCGGACAACTCGAATTTTTGTTACAAGCGAAACCATGTTTCTTCCAGGAAACCTGGAAACGGGTTATTTATGTAAAATTATAGCTAAATATTATGGATGAGATAAGACATTGTCATACCGAGAACTATATTTTATTTTCGAGACTCATCTATTGCTTTACAACGAATGTTATAAATCGTATTGTAATGTTTTATTCAATTTAAAATAATAAAGAATAATTTAACCAACAATATTATATTTCTTTAAGTATATTTTGTTTTTTAAAAAAAATGTTGAAAATGTAAAGGCGGCAAAATGTCCTGCTTGTAGTCGACAAATAGCCCACTGCTGTATAATTTTGTGTGTGGTATTGAAGTGACGACGTCACGTCACGATACGCAAATTGCAACTTGCATAGTTGCATCTATATTTTTTTATTTTTTTTTATTGAGATAAGATAATAAGATGCTCCTAGCTTTGGCTATCTACATACTACATCTATTGATAATTATACAATGGTACATTTATAGCTATTTGAACATGATTATTAATTTACATAGAAACCAATATAAACAATAATTAGACACTACGAATAACGTGCATCTATATTACAATAGTGTGTTAGGTACTTAGGTACCTACATATAACTACATAAAGTGATAAGTACCAGGGACGGATCCAAGGGGGGCCTAGGGGCCCAGCCCCCCCTGACATAAGACATATCCATATATTTTTATAATTCTACAGATCCTGATATTACTATATTTAAAATCACAAGTTTCTCTACCCTGAGACGGGTAAAAACCTGGCTACGCTCTAGAATGCAAAAGGATCGCATAACTTCGTTGTGTTTACTTAATGTTCATAGGGAAGTTGAAATAAGCATTGACCAAATAATTGACAGATTTGGAAAAAGTGACAATGTAAAAAGGCGTTTAGACTTTGTTATTTAATATAAAAATATTATTTTATTTATCACATTGATGCCTACTATTATAACAAAATTGTTAAATTAAGAATAAAGGATAATAATTTATTATAATTGTATTTGTGTTGTAAAAAAATTGTTGCCCCCTCCCCCCCAGATCTTTGCTCTGGATCCGTGCCTGATAAGTACATGCAGTCTTGTAAAGTATTCGAATGCATGTATTCAAATACTTTTTTTTATTCTAATACGTATTCTGATTAATTTATTTTGAATTTTTTTATTCATTTAAAACACCTTTGAGCTCACTAAATAGTTAGGAAATTTGTGAAAAAACAGATTTTTCTCTTGAAAATTGAGCAAATTATAAATCATGGTTCATGAACAATAGTTTTTCTCTATGAATGGAATATAATCGACCCACGTTGATTTCCAAACATTCCAAAGCTCACAAAACTTATCGGAGAAAATAACATATTTTACAAGTACCTATTCGTGTATAATATATTTGAATACGTGTTTTAAATATTTTAGTATGCCTACTCATTTGTTCGAATTCAAAATAATAGTGTTCTCTATACAAGACTGAGTGCATGTATATATTATGTACAAGTACCTACAACTCAAGTTTCAAAACCAATATTTATACGCTTATAGCTTATTAAATTTCTAGTAGTATAAATAAATATCAATACAAATCAATACAACCCAATTTATAAAATAATGCTTCATAGGTGTGTATACATAATAATTTGGGTAGTGGAGCTAAATTCCCATTTGGCATAAGCCTCCCAAACCATAGCCCTATAAACTTAAAGAGTTTAACTATTAGTGCATACTGTATAGTTCAGTATTATACTAGTATACACTGTACACTGTTTATAGGTCTATGCTCCCGATTCCCAAATTACACGAAGTCGAGTGGTGATTGAGTTGCCTAATGCATATACATTGTATTTTCTAAAATAGGCATTATTTAGACGAACACAACATTGCAACGTACTGTATAGCAACGAAAATCGTATGATCTCAGTCGATTGAAATGAATTTTAAAACATGTTTGGCTGCACGACGACGGTGTTTGATGATTATTATTTATTAGTTTATTACACTTTTGTTAGAACTTTTGATGTTTTTGGTGTATTCCTACTTCGCAATAGAATTTATTTGTTTATTATTTTGTCTTCCAAGTATACGATATTGTGGTATTGTACCAATGCAGAATTGCAAAATGCACTGGCACCTGACACAATAATCCACGTTTATGTGCAACAGTGCAGCATCCACCAGACATCGTGAACCGAGGTACGAAATTACCAACTACCAAACCAAGTATACCAATATACCAACTGACGCTTAAATGCATAAATACATAATTACATTGGTCATGACATGTATCTTATTATTTTGCAGCTTGCAATATTGTTCTTCAGACCTTCAGTAAGTACCTATACTTGTCGTTTTCACTTTTCTTGGCGTCTTAGCGGCTGGTGGCTTAACGCCACTTGCACACCGGTATTTACTTTTTTTGACCGACAGGCGAGTAGATGACAATTATTATTCGACTAACTATTAGTGACTACTCTTTCTTTAAACTATGACCAGTGGTCATAGTGGGGGGGGGGGTTAAGTGGGATGACATCCCATCCACTTTTTATAATTCACATTTTCCACCCCTTCACTTTTTTGGGTCACTTCGACTATATTTACCATAACAAAATACATATAAATACATTTAAATGAAATATAATACATATATTGTCATGCTTTAGACTTTTTACGAGGTACCTAGGTACTTATAGTACAATAATACCATGCCAATTGCGCATGTAAAAATGGTGATGTACTGATGTTAATTAATTGAACAAACGAGGCAAACAAATAAACAAACATAATAGAATAAAAACATTATTACATAAATGGTATAGAATATAGTCATACAAGTTAGAGCTATATATAAGTGATTGCTAGTAAGCGTATAGTAGGTAATAACATTGATTTTAGAATAAATTATTCTAAAATCAATGGTAATAATAACTTTTTTACAAATTGTATGTTAAATAACTTTAAAAATTAAAATTATGATGGATTGCATGGAAAATTTATTAATTTGATGGTTTAATAAAATTTAACGGACAATCATGGCCACTAAGTCACTAAATCATGTATAAGTAGGTATTGCATAACCAGTGTTCGAGACTAACATTTTATTACAAAAAGAATACATTAGGGCATAAGGCACAATATTACTGAAATTGAATGACTACTATGCGCCATTTATTCTTATAATAACTACCAAATTAAAAATGTCTTAGTATTGGTAGGTACTAGGTACTAGTAGATGGACTAGTTTTCACGCATTTCTGCGGAATAAACTGTGTACATTTTGTGTGTTTTGTATACATATTATAACCTTTTAATGAAAAAATTTGATTGAAAGTAATAATTACCAATTGCTTGAAATTTGAATAATTAGTTTCAATAAAAAAAAATTTACAATTTATGTATGTACAATTATGTTTTTTATTTGATTTTATTAACGGGGAGTTTTTTCTGGAAACATTTTTTTCCGGGGATTTTTTTTCCGTTTACTGTATAAATTGAAGTTGTTAATAAGTTAAAAAATGTCATTTGGGGGAAGGTTCCAAAACCCAGGGGCCAGGGGTCTACGTCACTGCTCGTTATTACAGAATACAGATTAAACTTATAATATTTTCGTATAATCTGTTACTGTACTAGTCTATGGTCAGGGTCAGCTCGTAGAATAAAGATAACGTCAAGGTCAGTTACAAAGAAAAGAGATTTAAGCAGTACTCACTGAGTACTCAGTCGGTACCACCGTGATAGAAATATGTAACTTATTTCTATCATGGGTACCACGATCTTGCACGAGACCGAAGTGGGTACTATTAATATACGTAAATGTATTGTGTGGGTCTAGGTGTGGGAACCTGCGGCTCTTTGGGAAATTCCTACTTATATTAAGTAGATACGTTTTTGTGTGTGTTATTGTACTTATTTAAATATTATATTTGCATAAACAATAATAATAATAATAATGAATTACCTAATGAAATAAAGTATTTCTATACTTTCTAAATTTAAGACGTATCCATTATGCTTTTAATGCCTGCCAATTGTTTAATGTAATAATAATACAATCTTATTCTAATATACTAAAATAGTAAAATATATTATCTATAGTCTATATTAACAGCTTCAACTAAAAAGAAGGTTGTTCAAACCTGTGCGGGTCACTGGACATCATGGTTTGGTAATTTTTCTAAAAAAAATGGCTCTTTCTGACGAAAAGGTTCCCGACCCCTGGTCTATGATGTGAGGTCAGACAACATGAAAATAGTTATATAAATATTCTATGGTAGGTATGGGTTTATTGTATACAAACAAAATAATATTTACAATGAAGTTGGTAATTCAGAAATCAGTAATCAGTACCTACTGACGATTCGCGTTACTGCGGTGGCATAATAGTCCCACGACAAAATATGTACCGCTAAACTGTGTAGAGAATAATATTGTTGTTTAATAATATTATCATAGAATAATATTCAGTTCGGTGCATAAACGCATAGGTAATAGGTATAGACAATAATATTATAGTTGAATAGTTATCTAGTAGGTATCTGCTATCTACTTATCTTATATCAAATTCCACAGTAGGTTTTGCAGCGTATATCTATCTGTAGCTAATAATAAAAATAGTCATCCATAATAAATAATAATTAATGACCATTGACCGCTTATACAAGTTAGTAGTTACTAGTTAGTATACCCAGTTACGGCGCTCGTGGTTGGATTTTTTTTCTTTGATTTCTTCCACTGCGGCACCGTGGCTTCATGACAAAATAATATTTTGTCATTAAATTGTTATAATATTGTGATTTTTGGGAGCAATGGAACATGGGCATTGGAGCGTTACTTACTCAACGCCCGCGTACTATAGTACCTACTATTAGCCGTTAAACCACCGAGCGGACTACAAATCAAAAATGGTCTCGGATTAATTATATTAATTAATATTCTGTGTTAATATCAATTGATTAATGGAACGCCTGAACGGAAAACAAATCTTTGCGAGTGCTAATTTTTTTGATTTTTTTCTTGTGTTCTTTCAAACAGACGGTTAGTTGATTCAAGATCGCTTCCGGTGTAAATCACCATACATAGGAATTGGCGGTATTGTTTCATTTCCTTACGATCCAAACGACTGCGAAATATGGATTATAACGTGAGTAAAAAAACAAAATATATTAGTAACTTATAATTGATCAGTTAATATAGGTAGGTAATTAAGTACCTACTTTAGCTGTGTAATTTAGTCTGTAGGGAAGACACTTAGGTTTAAACTTGCTTGTTGCATTTAAATGTTTATTTTGTTATTTCATACATTTCATGAATTCTCAAATAGAATAACACGATTTTCCTGGGGCATATTTTTCGCAACTTTTGAAAACTTGGAGATTCATTTTAATTTCGATAGGTACCATAATATTTTCAGATTTTACATTGTATATTGTATAACGTTGTGCATTTTTGATAATTTATTAATGGTGTTTATTAATGAATGATACAATTTGTGATTAGGTATAGTAATAGGTATGTTTGAATACTTTGTAAATTAAAAGTATAAACGCAATGATTTGATATGTGGCCGGCCGTATCCAAGTCTATTTTATAAACATACCTAGGCTTGCTCAGAGTTTCAAGTTAGGGGCATTAAACATTTTAACAATCCCATTTTCTCATATCTGGACCATTTAGTTATAATTTATTATCTTTAACCTTTAATATGTTATATTAAAATTACGTAACCATTTTATATTAATCTTAGATAGGTACTTATATTTCTCATGTTAAACACTAGTTATGTAATAAAGGTACCTAACCTACCTACTTTAGATGTGCCCACTTCCTGATTTACTAACTCATCTGTCCAATGCAATATTCAATTATGGCCCCTGCATGGTCTACCTTTATTAACTTCTAAACTAGACGGCATCTATTATATTATTTATGCACTATTTGTCTACCTAGGTACCTACATACTTCCTTAAAAATTACTATGCATTTTATTTTTAGATTATGGATTATCAATTGCAATTTAATTATTGAAATGTAATGTGTTTACACATTTCTAATAAAAATTATTATCTTCGTTATAGGGTCAGTGAGTAGTAATTTTTAGCGGTTTTAACTTGCCTGGATCATCATTTCTGGGATGATCAGGGCTCAGGGGAATTAAATGCACACCCCTCATCACCTGTGCTCAAAACTATGATTGAATATAGCAGTTTTTTTTTACTTATAATATTGTATTTGTATTTGTTTTACCATCTTGATTGAATAGTTTTATACATACATTTATATGGGCACCTACCTAATTAAAAAAAACCCCAAGTTCATAGTTCAATTTAATATTTATTTATAATAATACAAATTCAATTTGTTACTGGTTATAGTATTTTATGTTCGATATTAAATGTCATAATTTTATTGTATATGACTACTAAATATAATATCTATGTACTTTTTAGAGCATTGATGAAGACGATGTTGACAATTTAAGGCTAGCTGCTCTTATGACATTAAAAAATAAATCATATTTACCAATAAATACAGGAAGTAGTAAATCAGCAAAATGTTTGCCTCATAATATGTTTGCATATAGTTCCGAGGGTAGTTCCTATAATAATCCTGTAAGAAACAATGGAGGATGGTTTCCTTTATCAAATAAACCATCCAGTAAACATTCATTAAGACATGTAAGTTTTTTAAATTTTAAAATACATTGTATTATACTATTACTTAATATATTATAATTACATTAATTTACAGGTAAATTTAAAAAAATCAGTTTATCCCAATAGAAATTTGATTGCTATTGTACCATCTGATATTGAATGTGATTTTAACTCTGATTTAACTAATTCTACCCTTGTGCTTGATTCTGATGATAAAAAGTCACCGAATACTCATGATTCGAGTAATGAAGGTAATTCCATAAAGTAATAGTTTTTTTTAATTATCAATAGTTGTTTTTTAAATGAATATTTATACATGACTTAAGTTAATATATCAATAATAAAAAATATTAATTGTTATATATTTATGTGTTAAATTTTTTTCTCCCCAGTTTCCACTAAATTCAGCAGATTAGAACATGAATCTGATTCTGAAGAAAGTGAAGATAGTGAACCAGAAATAAATGAAAGAGAAGAATCAGATGATTGTGATATCTTGTCATTGGGAGAAAAAGATCAAGATTTAGATGACCTTGACAAATTAATGGATATTATAGAGGCTGAAATTGCTGATGGTGTGAGTGAAGATGTCAAAGAAACTTCAAATTTAAAAATGAACAATGATTATGTAGTAAAAAATGCAACTGAATTGAATGCTAACATAGATCCTAACAGAAATGTACTTACTGCATTAAATCAACCCAAGATCATTGAAGTTTCTAAATCACAGTTAAATTCACCTAAAGAAAAACTTGAATCTGAAATTACTTTTGAAACAAACACAAACTCTTCATCTCAGTGTACTGTATTGAAATCATGTGTTGTTTTGAAATCTCCAACACCGTTTAATACAAAGAGATCAATCTCTCCTTATACTAAATATTTAAATAAATGTTCTACTACAGTTGATCATTCAAGACTTCAACATAGATCTTTATCTCCCAGAAGGTTATCACCAATAAGAGAAAAAGTTCTTTCTCCAATACAATGTTCTCCTCCAGAATCTCTGAATACTTCAACATCTACAAAAAAAACATTTAGTTTTTTATCAAAAGTAATATTGCCTAATGATAGAAAACATCCTCCATTTAGTAGAAAAAATTCCCTCAAAAGAAAATCAAGATCACCAGATAAGAGCTCTGCTAATAACAAATCAAATAGCCCAATAAAAAAACTGATGAAACCAAGGCAAATAATATCTCCTACTATTCAATGTGCTAATAATAATGATTACTTACCGAAAACAGTTCAACTAAAACCTGTTGACAAAGAAGTGAAAATTAGAACATTTGATCCTCTTTTAGAAGTAAGAAAAAGAACATTTGAATATACCAAAGTTAAAACAATGTAATAAACTAGGGGAAAAAATATTTCAAAGAAAACTTCTTTTCGTGGCAATTTAGACTCAGATCAAATAAGTAGACATTTAAAATATTGATTCAAATTAAAACCAAATGCTACTTATGAAATATATTTTACAATTTACATTAAAATCTATTTTATTGTCTATTTCTTTAATTTCAATGTAAATGTTTACCTGGACTAAATCAGTTTTCTTCAAAATAATATTTTTTCTGGTTATTTAAATTGAATCAAAAATATGAATTAAATATTCCTTAAGGTCCATAATCCTTTTATTCATTGAAACCACTGGTTTGTGAGTTAACTTCTTTTTTTTTTTAAAACAGCAGGTGCTAGATGTTAAAAAATTATCCATACAATATACTGATTCTGTTGATCTCAGAACAGAACTAAAACGACGGAGAGCTCTTCGACTGAATAAAGTAACTAATACAAATTAATGATATTTAATTAAGCTGCTTTAAAAAAAAAATTAATCATCTGTCTAGAATAAATTGGATGCAAAGAAGAAATCAGAATCCTTTTATCCTACTCGATTATTACAGTCTGCAATTAGAGATGTTGTTGATTCAAGGTAATATTCATGGTTTACATTATATCAGTTGTAAAACAAGATTTTTTTATAATATATTTTCAAATTCATAATACCTATTTTAATTTCTAATGACGGTATATTAAAAAGGATTAGCGGTTCTAAGGTTTTAATGTAGTCAATAGTCAATATTTTATTAACAGATTTAAACATAAAAGTACTTGTGTTTTACTGAAAGATTGATCTTTCCATAGCACCCATAAGCAAAAAATGATCTATAGAGTGTATCAAAAAGTTCTGACATATGGCCTAAACGGTTTAAATGTCAGAACTTCATGATACCCCCTTTATTTTGAAGAAGTTAGTTACTTATTTCATATAGAGTTTCAACTCATAAGAAACGAGTCTAAAAAACAAAATAAATATTAAATAATAATGATTTTTTACAGTACTAATGGAGTGAAAAGAAAAAATTATCCTAACAAACCAGAAATAAGAGTACAAACTGAGGGTATGTAATTATTTTATAGTTTTATTAATTTGAGCAATAAGTTTTAAATTGTTCATCAAATACTTTTTTAAATTTATTGTGTACTACTAGTATAGTTTTCGGAGTCAGCTGTCCTAGGAGGGGGGGGGGCTTGGGCTTGCTATTTTTAATTTTTAAATACGATTTTAGGTCTCATCAATAAACAAAATATAAAATTTTTATTATTTCATAGCATTAAAAATTGGATGTTTCATAAAGAATTAAACCTGATATAATTACTATATAATAATTACTGTTACAGTTGGTCAAACGTTTGATCACGGAGTGAGTGTTGAATATAGTAAGATAAGACCACGAAGAACAGTAATACTTTGAGAAATCCATAGAGCTTTTTCTTGTTATGCACACTTCTAGCCTTAATTTGCTTCTTGTAAATTTAATATCATATAAATATTATATAATATACCAACTACTATGACTTTTTTGGTGTTATTTAAGGTTTATACATTTCTTCTAAAATTTGTTTTTATTGTATCAATTATTATAAACATCCAAAAATGTTAGTATTTTAAAAATACTTTTAAATAGAAATGTATTTTAGGCCTTGCAATTATTTTTGCCCTGAATCCTGCAAATAATTTTAACAACTCAGTTTATATTTATATGTGTTTAGTGGATATATTGAGATATTATATTGCATTTTGATTGTGTGTATTCAATTTTATTTTATTATTTTAGGTAATTCAAATGGCCGAAGAGTCATCTTACTTTCAGGAAGTATGTTCATATTTTTATTTTTTCTTATTATTAAATAAATATAGACTAATTGATAGTCAACCGGGCCCTTTAAGTTCATTGTTTTACATATCAATATTGTATCATATTATTTAAATACTAGGAGTTTCCTGTTACATAGAAAACCATTCAAGATACCACAATAATTTAAAAAAATATTTTACTTATTTTGATGTTTTTGGCTTATTTAGTATATTTAAGCAGATTTTTAAATAAGATACATAATATATAACTACTCCACATATTTTTTTGTAACAAGACTTCAAAATACTGGTATTAAAATTATAATACAAAAATATAAAAATAAGCTTAATTCAATACAGTCTTGCACAATTATACATCATGAAATGGCAGTTATAAATAAAAAACCTATTAGTATACTTCCTAAAAATCCTCCTTACAGTTTATGTAAGTGGTGTTAGTATGAGAATAAACTGTTAGCACAATACTATTACTCCCATCATTGAGTATTTTGGTAAATTTAGATAAATTTTTCTTCTTTCAATATTTGGTTTCAGTTGTGGATGTTTAATTGTATATATTAATAGTGTGTGATATAATTTTTAAAAATAAAATATTTTTTTTGTTTAGATCAACATAATCATAATGATGAAGTAGAAAATTATTCAAGTGCAAAGAGACTAAAAGCAAATTACAAGAAAGTTCCACTTCATCTCAGGGTTACAGGTGTTTCTAATAATAATATGAAACAAATAGGATTAAAGAAGATCATTAGGCAAAACATTAATGTTACAGATATAGATCAGGTATTTGATGTCCTAATCACATGCAACTTTTTTTTACATTTGTTAAATTACAACCATTTAACTCTATTTTACTTTATCTCTGGATTTAAAATGTATTGTATTTTAGGTTTTTAATTATAACCAATTCAGATCAAACTACAGAATATCATTTTTCATAACTTATTTGATTGATAACATATTCTTACTAGTTACAAAATATTAACTTATTTTTACTAATGAGATATTTCAAAAATAATTTCAATTACCAATACTAAAACATTTTTAATTTGGTAGTTATTAAAAGATTAAATAGCTCAAAAAGAAGTAGTCATTCAATTTCAGTATTATTGTGTTTACTGTATTCTTTTTGTAATAAAAATATAAACGTTTCAAACACTAGTTATGCATTACTTACTTATAAATTATAATACACTCAATACCAATCATTTCTTTATTACATACATATTTGAATAAATTATGTATTGAAACATTTACAGTTATGGTTATAAAATAAAAGCAAATAATAATCTTATATGTGGTATTTTGTAGTTTAATATAATTTGGTTTATATTTAATAAACTAAAAATATTGGGGAAAAAAATGATTTTATGAATTTGATATTTTTAATTGATATTTATGATTTATATTTTTTTTTTGTAAGTAATTAATTCATATTTTAGTATAATTTATTTGAATGCAATTTGCAAATTTATTACTATTGTTTGATATTATACTGTCTTGAATACTTGGGCTATGATAAGGGTTGCATGAACAATCACTTAAAATTTAAAAAATCAATAGTGAGCAATGGTCCCTGAAAATGGTGAAATTTGGTGGCCCATGATTGTCCATTAAATTTTATTGAACTATTATATTAATACATTTTTCATGCAACTCAGTATAATTATAATATTTATAGTTACCTATTTATCATAATTATTAATTTGTGTATAAGTTATTATTTAAATAGCTTGCCAACTATACTTACTAGTAATCACCTATAGCCCTAACTATTATGACTATTAATATAATTTATACATTAATGTTTTTATTCTATTATATTTGTTTATTTGTTTGTCTCGTTTGTTATGACATAATATTTATTTAATTTTAAAAAAGTTTTTAATTTAATTTTATATTATAATGTACATTATTTTTTTATAATATTATATGTGTCAAAGAGTGGTTGGTCAAACACTGTTTTGAAACTATATCACATTTTTACTTCGCTTCTGTAACTTAAAATGTTTATAGCACATAATAATTATTAACTATAAGATTATCAAAAGTCATTGTTTTTGTGGTTTTGTTTAAATGGACATTGTACCTTTTGCAACTGTTTGACCCATATATTATTATAATGTATAGGGCTTACAAATACAAATCATATTATATTTATGTTATTTTTATTTTGTTTACAATTGTAATACCGATTTGAAATTTGTAACGCCAATTTTATATGTGGACAGAATATTGTTAATTTTTAACCAAAGTATGAATTTTTATATGTTGGTCACAGATGTAAATATTCACAACCATATTCTTCAGCAAAACAGAAGTGGCAGCATTTTATAACTTTGGCCATAAAGTATATTATGTTATTTTGAAATTTTCTACTTCGATGACTGTCAACTGTGTCTACTTAAAATGTTTTGATGCTATGCATTTTTGTGTATTTTATGACATCAAGAACAAACTTAGCTACACTAACCTATATCCTTAATATATTTGTTATTAAATCTGTAATTTCCCATTTATTATTTTTGAAATTAAGTTCACCAATTGTATTCTCATCCTTAATTTCCTGTTGGTTAACTTCTAAAGGTAATTTAATTTAAAAGAAAAAGTTATCATTTAATTACATTTAACATACATTATTTAGGTGCCTATTGTTTTCTGATTTGTACAAAAAAAAAAACTAATAAGACTGTTCATGTATCAATTAGATTAATTTTGATTTAAAAACTAAATTTGTAAGTTGTTGTAAGTTAAGTAACTTCTTTAATGGCTATTGATTGTTATTTTTTTTTTACTTGTTGCAGAACAATAACAACTTGTTAATACTTATTTTGTACTCCAAAAAAAAAAGAAGTTATTTATGTTAAACAATATAATTTAAATTTGTTACATATAGATCTCATTATTTTTCTTTCAGTGTTAATGTAAATACAATTATTATGATATTATGCAAGGTAAGTTTAATTTTAATCCATGTTACCTATATTTTGTATCTCCTTCCATCTAAATTGTTAGTTTCTAATACTGATTGAAATCTGTTCAATTACAATATGGGCTCGGGTCCAATCAGTGTTAGCCTGTCCAATGGTGTATTGGAAAATATATTTATGGGTATACGCATTAATAAAATATGTATACTAAACCTAAACTTTTTTTATATATCATGCTATTTTTATTATCGTATACATCTAATTGTATGAGTAAAAACAAATAACATTTTTTACATGAAATCAAGAACCGTTGATTTTTGTAATCATTTATTATGATGATATTATCAGTTGTTGCTTCTCAATGTTTATCTGTGATCCGTATGGAGGTAAAATGTAGAAATAAACAGAGAGTTTAGACTGTTTGGAGTTCATAATTGACAAATTACTTACTAATGTGCACGACATAATATATCTATTTATTCTTATTTTATAAATAATCTTGCCACAGCTAATGATGTGTATTAGGTTTAGCAAAAGTTTCATATCAATATAACATGAATATTATGTCGTGGAGACGTCAAAGTTATAACTTTCCTTGTTTTGTTTTACACCATCGTTTCTACTCGCCTCGTTTCACGGTACCTACATAAATTATGAATTTAATATATAATTTATTACTATGTTACATTTTTAATAATATAAGTGTGTAGACTATAGACAACTGGCCAACAATCATTTTACCAATTATTTTACCTACTTACTTATATTATTATAGTACCAACTACCAATAAATGAAACATGTTGTGGATATCATGAGGTAAATTTGAATTATTCATTCAAGTACCTCTACGAGTTTGCTCATTGTATAAATGTTTTTCAGAAAAAAACAAAAAAAGACAAACATTTATTTTAAAACAGTTATGTATAATGAGATAAAAAATAATGTTATAATTTAATATGCTTAATTTTATAATAAATGACAGTTATAATTTAATATGCTTAATTTTATAATAAATGACAGTTATAAAAAATGTTTATAAAAAATATAGGCAGTAAATATAATGTATAGAAAAAAAACATTTTAATTTTAATAAATTAAAACAGAATTATTTGCAAAATACTTTTTAATAAAAGAAATTCCATGATTTCCGTGAAATGCAAAAGCAATATCATTTGTTTTTAAATTTTCTTCATCACAAAATCGCTTTAACATTTTTGTTGCTACTCCATTATTTCTATACTTAACCATCACCCATAATTTAGATATGCCAAATTTTACTGCAACTAAATTTTTTGAAAGCTGACCATTTTGATAGATACATGCATTTGTTAATGGCTCTATTTCTAAATATCCAATAATTTTTAATTTAGGATCTACTGCTAAAAATACTGTATGGTTTAAATTATTTATACTTTTTTTTAAAAAATCAAGTTCTAAATGTATAAAATCGTGTATATTCTTCAATGTAAGTCTAATGTTTAAATCATCACAGTTTTCAGTAACCTTTATTATGTCTAAAAGAAATCCATTGAAATTAATTGTACTTGCTACGTCTACATGAATTTGGCTCTTGAACTGGAGCTTATGTAAATTTGTATGTAAAGATTTATGCAATGAATCATTCCAAGAAGAAGGAACTTGAGACGGAAATATTCCACAAGGACAAGGTTTTTCAATTTTTTTGGGTTTCAGATGTGAAACATCAAACACAGTAGTACTTTGATTATCGTTACTAAGCTTTTTATTTTTACGTTCAGGACATATTATTTTCATACATTCGTCTGAATTAGCTTTTAACACTGATTTAAGTTTATACTGATGAATAACTCTTTTATTACCAGTGCCTTTACAAATGAACATATCATTTTTTCTTGTTTTAATACATGATCTTTTTGGAGTTTTGAAAGGATTTTTGAAAAAAGGTGAAAAATAATGTTCAGTCGATTTTGGATTATTTCTTAACCAGTAATGACTTCGATTTTTTTCCACCGGATTATCATTACAGTTAACACCTTCAAAATTATACGAAAGATTATTGTTTATAGGTGCCAATTTATCAAGAAAAGGTTCATTATAAGATATATAACTTAAATCTTGTTCCGTGTTTTTTGAAATTACATTTGTTGGCAATTCATTTACGCTTTTTAAACTACAATTTTCTAAAAACTGTTTCTTAGACGATTCATTAGTATTGACGCAATCACTATTAGGTTGTGGTAAAGATTTTGATTTATTCAGTTCTCTAATACTACTGATATTACTAAATGAATCAAGTGCTGCAGTTTTATTTGATAACATTTCATCATTGGTATTATCATTTGCAGGTTTAAATGATTTTAAATCGTCACAAGACTTGTTAAATTCCAAAAAATAATTTTGCAAATTAAACTGATCCGTAGATCTATCTTCTTGCTCATTCGATATTATATTATCACATGATGGGAATTAAACTTGTTCTAGTTTTTTATTTAGACATTCCAACTTATTGTTTAACACATTTAAATTATTGAAATCAACACCTACAAACTGTATAGTTGAATAATCTTTTTTATTTGATAAAGATTCAATGCAATTGTTGTATATATTTGCTTTCATAACGTTATGAATATTTTTAATAATTTCATTGACATGTTTCGATCCTTTCTGTTCATCGGGTTTATACATGCATTTATTCATTATTTGTAATATCTCATGTTTCATACTATTCAAGTACGGTACAATATTTCCAGAAAACATTTTTAAGCTCAATTCCATTTGAAAAATGTTTGATACATCAGTGTTATTCAGAAAGCTTTCATCAAATGTTGTATGTTCATTAATTTTGCAAATCATCTGTGATTTATTAGATTTTATTGTTGTATTTTTATGAAGTGTTTGATTTTCTTCAATTTTATTTTCTGTTGAACTTTTTCCATTTTCCAATGAATATATCAGACCTATCTTATTTGATTCATTTAGACTTAAATTTACTGTTTTATTGGATAGCAAATTTTGTTGAAATGAATTATTGTTTTTACTTTTTTTATTCAACGTCATGTTTGTTGTGAAACTAGACCTCTGTAAAGTTACTTGGGATTGATTTGTGTGTAATATGTTTGTCACGTCATTCAATGTTTTCTGAGAAATTTGTTTTATACTATTAAAAGTTGTATAATGTTTTGTATGTTTGTCAGTTTTTTCTTGATTTTCAGATACTAACAGATTGTTATAATTTGTTGAGGCTTTTTTTTTTAATAAATTAGATTTATCAGTAGTACATGCTGTATATGAAGTAATAGTAGTATTAGAATTATCATTAAATTTACTAACCTTGCTTGATTTTGATTTAATATCATCATTATTAGACATTTTGAGTTGAATTGATACTTTTTTAGAAGTTTTTTTCCAATAATATTTCTTTTTAATGTTATTTTGATGTTTGCTTAGAGGACTGCTGGTTGCTAAAGGTTTATTACCCATCAATTCACAGTAATCAATATCAGAATCAGAATCAGAAAGTCGACGTAAGGCAGATGGCATATTATGTACAAATGTATTTTGTTGAGGTAAAATCAACAATTTTGATCCTTCAGAATCTGAATAATACATTTCATTTGTGTCCGAAGAAAAACTATAATAGTCTATTGGATCAGTTGGTTGATTTAAAGTTTCATATTTACTTAAATTTTCAGCTTTATTTGTATTGAGAGTTAAATTCTTAATTTTGATTGATGATTTACTGGTTTCACAGTTTAAAGCATCTATAGATTTAAATAGTGATTGAGAATTATGGTTAACGTTCATCATTTACAAACTGAAATGAAAAATATGCATACTAACATATTATTGTTGAAGATCTTCATACAATTTATCATTTCAGTTGTATGTAGGTACTAGGTAGGTATTTGAGTTTACTTGCAAATTTACATGTCTGAAAAAATATGAGAACTTTGCCTTAATCTAGCTGTAGTATCTATTCAAATATATAATAATATTAATTTATGTTTACATAATTTAATAAAATAAATACAATAAACTCCTAAAATACATTCAAGACCAAAAAAAAAAATGTCAAACATATTTTATGAGAAATATAGGTAGGTACATGATGATCAGTGGCATAATAATGATATTGTTCTGGGAGTGCCATCAATATCTGGATCCTTTATTTTATCCGTTTGTTGAAGCAGACATCATTCAACTTATAAACAAAGATGAAATTATTAATATAAGTGATAGGGTCTTCTAACAATAAATTTCAAAAAAAAATAAGTACCGAACTTTTTATGTTTATTGAATTTTTTGTTTATTTTATGCGTGTACCAATTGTAAATAAGTACGTAAAAAAAATAATTTAAAAAAAAATATTTTATTGCAATTAAGTGGCAATTCAATTTATTTTTAAGTTTTGTATGTGGCGTTGGGCCCCATTAAAAATCACTGAATTCGAGACCCAAATGCCCAATTATGAGCCAGCCCGACATTGAATTTTAAATTTTTAACACTCGGAATTTATACAACAAGATCTAATTTTTGATAGTCCATCGACCATCAATTTATTACTCCTTAATAACTCATTCAATGACCGTAAAGCATCAATGTTTTTAATTTTTATGGACAACTAAAATATAGCTACGGTCGTCATACATCTTACATCTAATTACACCATTAAAACTTTAAAAAAAATTGGATCCCCCACTTCATAACTACGCCACTGATCATGACGAGTAATAAAATTGTAATCTTCGAGAACTAAACTAATTACTGTAATATTAAATGTAGTATAGGTATATTTTATACAATTATAAAAAATATTACATAATATAATCTTATTATTGTTCAATATTCATCTCAAAAATGATTCTTAATAAATAGGTAATAATAATATCTTATTTTACACGACTTATTGAATAAATAAAATGTATTACCTATGATTTCCTAGTGTTTGTGGATTAGATAAACTATAACAGGTAAATGTATTTGTCATTATACCTGTACGTCGGCAGTAAAATTGAATATTTTAACGGCATCTTGAATAATAATTTATTACGTTATTTTATTAAATTATCGTGAAGAAGCAAAAATTGAAAAAAATAACACCCATGGATATTCCTACTGAATTCTCATCGATGAACGATGCCTTCATGATTGCAACAACGACAAGCGAGGACGAGTAGATGTACGCAGTGGCGGCGCGAACTTTTCGAGCCTTTGAAGTAAATTGTACATTTTAAATATTTTTACCACCAACCATCCCCTCTATTACATCGGAATGATGGGTAATTTACTATGTTGAAGCTATGAAGCAATTGCTTCAAATAGTATTATATCCCGCCGCCACTGCAGCCCCGGGCCCGGCAATCGTAAAATTAACAACAGTAGGTACAATACCATTATAAATAATATTATAATATTATGTTTAAGACAACAACATCGAACATTATGGCTATAGATATCACTCAACTACGCATATTAACTCTGCAGGTCTCGGAGGAGGCAATAGTATAATTTCTATCGGTGTCCGGGAAATTAAAATAATAAATAGATGAGGTCCAGGGGAAACAGAATACAAAAATATCTTTATATAAAAGCGATACGAAGAAAATACAATTTCAATGGAGGTAGGTATCATATTATGTCGACGGTCCAGTTTTCTGCCCACCGCAGTTCGTCCAGTCGGCTGTCTTGCGCACAACGTTTTGGTTTCGTAAATATTTTTTTTAACTGGTGACTGTCCGAGTTCATTCGTGAGTAGAGTGAGGAGGGTACGCCTCGTGCAGTCGTGATCTTTGACTCGCGACCAAAATACCTACGGACTCCGGGTGGGATTCACACGGGACGAGACGTCCGCGACCACGAATCGACATTGGATGTATCATAATTCTCAATTCGTGCGTCCGACTCTCGGCTACGCAGTGTGTGTCATGTAATTATTGATCGATTGAATCCGCTAATGTTGATAAACAGAGAGAATTGTTGTTTTAGTAAAAGAAAAATATACATCATTGTAAAATCAATATAATATTCATCATTATTCGCTTATGCTCAGTATCTTAAACGGTCAGAATAAATGTTATGTATTAGTCATTTTAATAATATGAAAACATAAACACTCATATAGTCATATTGTCATATGACTATGACTATTAAAAAGCGGTTTATTAAATTCCATTAAAATTAATATTTTTTTAACATTATCGGTGTAACCTCTGGGCTTTTATTATTACTTATTGCACTACATATAGATCGCAATTCTTCAAATGGTCATATTATTTAAAAAACATGACAATATAAATAGATCTAAGGTGGTCAAGAAAAATAATTAAAAACATAAATTTTATTTAAATTGCTTTAATTTCCAACAATTAGGAGTATGCTAAAAAATATCTGAAAATTTAGTACTGGTATTCAATCTTCCGATAACACCTCCCTCAAAATGAAGCACTGTAGGTAAAGCGTGTAAGGTTAACACTGCTAAATAGAAAGTAGAAACTTATAATTTATAATTATGATATTATAGAAACTTATTAATAATAAAACATAATTTCACAACAAGAAAAAAACTAAGATAATGTGTTTAAAATTATATTAGGATAATAGGTAACAGGCATACTTGATTCAATCAAAATAAAACAATATTATTTAAGAAATATACATACTAAATATAATTTGCAAAATACAAACATTTATAATTATTAAAAATTATACATTCTACACAAAGGTGAAATATTAATAAACTGCACAATGATACGAAATAGCCAATTTCTAATTAATAATTAATAATAAAAAAAATACAATTTTTAACTTATTACTGAGAACCAAATTATTGTTAAAATGTATTGGTGTTTGGAAATTTCCTCTCACCTTGAGATACTGTCCAGAGTACTGGATAATTCCCCACCACCCTCTTCCACCTAAGATTAAACAGTGTGAGCGAGTGAGTGATCCTGACCAATCTTTTCTCTAAGTGCATTGGCAGTTCTACACTTAGAATTTTGCAAAAAAAAAGGAAGGATAAAAGTATATCTTATGATAAAGTTGTTTTTTTTTTTAAAGAGAATTAATTGCCAAAATGTTTATTTTGACATATAATACATGCATAACCTATTTATTTTAGGTTTAAATTATTATCGGATTGGGGGTTCTGATCAATTATAATATATTAAGTATACTATAAAAGTTGATATTTTTATAACGAAAACAAATATCTATATTACAATTAATACTATGTTCGTACAATAATAACCACTAAATATCCTTAAACGTTATTAAAACAAAATAGTTACAGTTGACTAATAAAGTTGTCTAGTACACAAACGTATATTATTACAAATATGTTTATTTCTTAGTGAGTAAATCATCTTCTATAGCATGGAAATCGAATTGCCAGAAATATTTGATTGCTGCAATACAACATTCCTTCTTAGCGGCTTTTTTTGTTGATCCTATAAAATATAAATTAATAGAAGAAATAATTATAGTATAAATATACAATATTTATTATAATTTATTTAAGTTTTTTTATGTATGCTATCGACTGATAATTCTATTTATATTTGTTTTATATGGTAAAACAATTATATAAAAAATCATAATATCATACTGTAAGAATTTGCATAGGTAGGTATTTGGAAATCTATTTTCAATTAAAAATAAGTTTAACAAGTAAAACAGCAATATAATATTGTTACAAGAAATATTACCTTGTCCAGTAAATGGAATGCTGTCTATTTCACATTTCACTTGGAAAACTGATGGCGTTTTTGAACTAATAATAGTTTCTATAAATTTGACACCGGGCTTCATTTGATTTATCAACTGTATTGGATTGCAGTTTCTTGGGTCTTCGGGGAACTTTCTCATAGCACCAGCCTACAATAAAAAGGCTTAAGTAATAAAATTATAATATGGTGTAGTTTACTTGTGTATATTAACTAAAAAAATCAAAGGTAATACAAAATATGAATAAGTTACTAAATACTACATATTTTTACTCACTTTTGAACCTTAACAGTTTTAGGAAATATATGTTATTATATTTCTTTATTACTGTCTAGATACCTGACCTGTGACTACAACTTTACAAATTAACAGAATACAATTATATATTATTTTGGCCAATTATTTATTTAATTTTGTGATATGAACTTTTTAGTTGTAACAATATAATTAAAAATTAAAAATGAAAATGGTTCCACTACATAAAATATTGAACCACAATAACAACTAGTGAATTTTGAATAAATAATCATTTAGTTATAAGTTGATACCACAAAATCAAATATATAAGTAATAGCTGTCCTGCCATGGCATTGCCCGTATATTATATAGTTATACAAAAAATCTCCCTTTAACACCTTAGAGGTCTAATTTTGAAAAATCCTTTCAAAAAATGATTTTATAGTTATAACTATAATTTGTAGTTAATTATTTTGATTGTGTACACGGCGATGAGCGGCTATAAGTGTAACTCAGTTGACAACATTGTTAGACAATGAACTAAAATTCAATTTGATGCATACTTAAACCTGATCTGCCCGATTAACCAATGGCAACCAAAAAATTAAAAAAAAAACCAATTTATACTGAAAAATTAATTATTAATTAAAATATACATGCAAATTATATACCTATACACATATAGTATGGCACGGCGGCCCACGGGTGACTTAAGTTTGTTTAATATTTTAAGCGTGATTGCTTAAACTAACCTGATGAACTAACACTTATCAAAAAATCAACATAAATATTTATTAATCTTCAGATTGATTCCACTGTGAAATGAGCACAAGAAATGTTTTGATAGAGGGTGAGAATTATTAATTGAGTTTTTAATTAAGTCTGGAGGATCCTCAAACTGGTGTAAAACAACTTTACTGTCAGGGCAGCAAAGTCCATGGGTTTCATTTTTCCATTTTTTTGCATTGCACTTCGGACATAATGTAGCCATTGGTCCTATTTGAAGCACTGTAATATTTAAATAATCAATCACTGATTGATATTTAAACACTGATTTCAGACTCAAAGCGACACAAAGCTGTGCACATGTATGAGAACGTTCTGGTGTGTTATCTTATTGCCTTCTGTTATACATTCGAGTAGCATTGGCAGTTATTCTGCCAATCTGTGCTTTTGGCGCTCTCGGCATGATGATGAATTGGCAACTTACCCAAAATTTAACTCTATAAGCATACCCAATAAAACCTTCATGCTCGTGCCGGGTAATGCAAGAGATTTTGATTGTTATTTATTTTCAGCCAGTGACTATTTCTTACTAAAAAGGTATAGGTAATTTACACGTTTATTTTAATTAATAATAACTTTATACTTATTTTTAATAGACAAAAGTGGTACTAAAACTCTGAGCAGTGTCGGGTATAACAGTAAAAAATTTCAGCCAAATAGGTTCAGTAGTTTTCTCGGTTAGCGCGGTCGTAGAAAACCCCTTACCATTTTATATTATAGTATAGATAATATACCTTATACAACAAAAATATATAATTGTATTCAGTAATTTATGTATGTAAGTTGTTGACACTTGTCAGTCCTTCTATACATCACTGAACATGGAGTCTAGACTCCAGACACAGCCTTTCTTTATTCAATATTTAAGTAATATTCATTTTAAATATATTTTAACATACTAATAAGTACAACCATTAATGTTGTAATATCAAATATTTGATAAAGTTGTTTTAGAGTATACATCATAATATCCCATTTACTATTTTTATTAAATAAGCTTATTCCTTGGTAAAAGTAGAAGACGTAGAGTAGTGGTATCCCACTCCTCATTGTTTCATAAATCCCATTATTTGTGGCTTTGGTACAACCACCACAAATCATTTAAATATATTATTACATATTAACCCCCCTCTTATTGGACATTTCAGGGTACGCTACTGTACACTTGTATATTATCTACTTATTAAGTCACTAAAAATGAATGTAAAAAAAAATGTTGGTTTTTTTATCCATGCCCATAAAATATACAGTTAAATAAATTTAAGAGTCCATCAAGTTGACTGATTAAAAGTCCTAATTTTAACATACTTCTTTCAATTCTACCAAATTTAATCATTTTGAATTAAAGGGCTTGCTCAAAAACATGTCTTACAGGAAAAACTCTTAAGCTGTGTAAAGTGATCCAATTTCAATTTTTTTTTTGAAAAAAGATACTACTTCTTACAGGCACACAGGACTTGGTTTTTTCAAAATTCTGTTTCTAAACCATGTTTACGATCGTAAAAGTGACCAATTTTCAAAAGCTTTTGTTATTTTTACTGTGTTTGTTTTGAGCAATGAATTAAAATATCAGGATATGTAAAAAATTAGTCTTTCTAATGATATAATTAATAATCAAATCAGACCACATTACAATCTGTGAGTTTTTGAGTGTTTTTAACCAAAAATCACGCTTTTAATTTTTGGTCAGTGGTGTTGTTGACACGTATGCTTAGATACCTCGGTACCCACAGGGCACAGACAATCTCATAAGCACTAATCATCATTGACAACTAAGACAAACACCATGGACAACAGCAACTAAATTGCAAATTACCTAAACATTGCCCCTTGTTAAAGATACACAATTGGGCCTGTAACTACAGTTAATTTAAAAATAAATTGTAAATAGCAAATAAATGATTATTCACCTTCACTTTTGGTGGTGATTTTATGACATTTGGTAGTTCTTCTTGTAAATTAATGGCTTTAGAAACAGGTTGCAGTTCCCATTGATGTATTAAGTTATGCATAGCTAATGAAGCAAAATGTGGCCATGGAAAATCCTCCTGTGGGGGTCCTTTAGGTTTTGAAACAATACCATTTTCTCCATCTTCGACTTCGGTTTCCATGGGAGATTCTTCTTTTTTTTCTAATTAAATATAATATAACAGTATTCATTTATACGTGTATACTATAGACGCAATGTTAAAAGTTAAGTAGTTTAACACCTGTAACCTACCAGATCGCTCACTAATTTTTTTTGCCAACATTATGCGCAAGAAATTTTCACATGCCTTTTGTTTGGCTTGAGTCTTGGAAACGTGATTTGCGGTATACATATGTCCATCAATCTACATTTTTTTTTTAAAGAATACATTATTAATTATTATAATAAGCAAGAAAAAAACTCTAAAAAATGAAGAAATGAATTTCTAATTCAATTATATCTCAACATTTATCTTACCTCAAGTGTAGCAGTGTAACCCATAACATTATTTATTGAGTGCTCTTGTAACTGAATTGGTACATCTTTAAACAACTCAGAAAATACCATTAATGGACTTTTGGGAGATACTAAACGACGCATTCGAGCATTCAGGCGCTTTTTTCGTTCTTTCTTATTAATTTCTAACAAAATTTTTTTTATACATTTTAAAAAATCAATTAATAAAAATGACAATAACTTAATTTAAAAAGAATTACACACTTCGTTTGACCGGCCATTTTACTTCTGGTTTCTCATTAATGGATTTTTCTTCTTCAAGTTTTATCCGTTTATTCTATATAGACAATGAGACAACATAAGCAATTTTAATAAACGTGGCGAGGAAGTATTTTCAGTTAGCACAAGACACATATACTTTAGCAGATGATACATCAAAATAGTTTAGCATAAATAATAATAATAATAATAATAATAATATTTTAATTGTATTAACTATAATTATCATTATTATTATTATAAGAGGACAGCGTTTGATCTGCCAAGGTCTATGTAGTTACCAAAAAAGCTATGACACAATCCATCACAAATGATGACAAAATATCACTGACTTGGATTTTAAATAAACACAACATTTGTGTATATATAGAATCCTACTTGTCAGATGATATGATAAATACCATCAAATTAATGGTAGGGTTTACAAGTTGCCAATCACAATAAATTTAAATTATAAAATGGTTTAATATAGGTTATTTAATTATAAAAACATGATTAATTTGTAAAATTACTGATCTAATAAACTTATAAATACTCAATTTTTTTTTGTTTTGAAAAATTTAATTATATTGATATTAGGTAATCATATTAAAAAAGTTATATTTATATGAAAAGAATAAGTATTGGCAACAAGTAATAGCTTCAACCATACTGAATTTACATCGCCGCAACAAATTTTAAGCTTAGCTGTCTCAAGTTTATGCAAGATGCCCCAGGAATTAAATTTGCAATCCTTAATCCAAAAATGATATGGATTGACCAAATCCGCACTACGACTCTGAAATAGATGTACTGTAATTTTAAAATGAGTGGGAAACTTAAATCTGTCAGAATATATAGACATGTTCTTTTTCAATGTTATAGTAATTTGATTTTAAATCAATACAAGTATTAATGATTTGGTGTCATTCATATTACATAAACCTTTAATTTTAAATTCGTAAATGTAATTAGTATACACTATAAGCAATTTTATATTACTCAAGGCAATGGTAAATAAATGTACATAGAATAAGTTTTTAAGACTGGTAATGATAGTGATTTGATGTATAGGTATATTAAGTATGAGCTTGTGACTATTGCAATAGTTAAATGTAAAACCATATATACCTCAAAATCTTTTACTGGAGACGTCTGAGTAACCGAGGTTGTTGGTATTTGAGGTTCAATAACTGGTTTAGGACATGCTGATGGTGTATCATGCAGGGGCATAGGTGGTTGAATTTGACTTTTCATTGAACTAGTTGGTTTCTAAAAATAAAAGCAAGTTTAGTAACTATAATATAAGATACAATGAAATAAATAGTATATATGTTATTATCATCACAACCATTTTTGAAGCAAGAAAACAAAAAGCTAATTAATAGATAGTGGATAACCAAGTGTCAACTATATGAATAAAACATTATACATTTAATATCAATAAGCATTTAGAATATTTAAGTTAAATAAATATAATATTGTGAGTAAATGTATATAAATTGCTTATTATTTCAGTCCATATTTATTGCAGTTTTTGGAAGACCCAATTATTAAAAATTTGACAGCAAACGTAGCAGCTTAACTTATATTAATTTACTCATAAATAAATTAAAATTCTCAATATTATTATGGTTAGGTACTAATTATTTTTATCAGGGAGTAAAATGTCTTATCATATTTTAATTTGATTTACTGATCTAAATATTTTTTTGTAAGGTATACACATACACACAAGTCATACATTTATTTCAATAATTTCCATTTCAATTATGCAGGATTTGTTTTATATAAGTATATAAAAGGTTAACATACTAAATAGTTATCATTTGTATGGTGTATTTGTACCTACTTTACAGAGGTAAAAATGTAGGATTAGTTTTTAACGAAATTGCAAATAACCTACCCTCAATGAATAACACACGAGCTTTACAAATGTTAATCCTATACATTATGATAATATTTAACCATTTATTTATTTTAGAATTAAAACTGTGATCAATATAAACTGTGTAAAAATAGGCAAGTTTCAATTTATAAAAAGTACACATTATACATCTTAACAAGACTAATATTGTATGTATATCACAAAGTATAGATTGGTAGATAGTTAATATTAAATAGTTAACAAAATAAAATAGTGATAATAACAATGAAACTAAATTTTAAAATCTAAAAGCTTACTGGTGTAACACAATTTGCCACATGAGTCATTGTTGGATTTTGATGTTGTTGTTGTTGTTGTTGCTGTGGTTGTTGCTGTGGTTGTCTGTAAGTTTCAATCTTTCTGATATTATACTGATTACCGGGACTACCACCACCTAAAAAATAACAAAAATAATATTAGTCATTTATTAGGAAGCATTAAAATGAAATTAAACTATCATTCACAGTTTGTATATTACAAGAAGTCTATTTACCAATTTTAGTACAGATAGTAGAAAAATAATTTTAAAATAATAGGATGTATCATCAAATTGTATGGAACCTTATTTTAATCAGCTATAGCTAAACAATTATCATATTTTACTCAATCATTATACATAACTGGACTATAGCAATAGTCGCTAGTTTTACTCTCACCAGACTAGGCAATAGTTTATATTTTTTAAGAACATAATTTTTCAACCAAATCACAAGTAGAAAATAATCCCATCATAATTCTATCAATAATTTCAATATTTTTTTCTCTTTATTTTCAATATTTAAACAAAATTAATTAAATTTACAATTTACATATATTAGGTACATGATAAATATTAATGAGATATTATTATTTTCAGTATATTGTTATTGTTATCGTTATGTGTTTTTCATACCTGTTTTGTTTAATAAACTAAATTAATCAGAGAAAAATAAATACTTTATTTTAGATGATTCTTACAATTTATTGAGTCAAACTTAATGTCCTTATATATATTATCTTAATACAAAATGTACCTAACTAATTATTAATTTATTAAAACCATCAATTATAGGTATGTTGTATACACAAAAATAGAATATTAAGTATTTATTACTTCAAAATATTAACTTGTCATTGATCAATGCTTAACATGATAATATAATATTAGCTCTGCCGACAGGGAGATCTCTTTAATGAGAATTTAATCACCAACAACCGTTATTCATTCAATCTTGAAAATATTAAAAAAGCATTTATAATAATTCAATGCATTACTTTAGGTAGGGGCCTAAATAAAATATATTGAAATAAAGAAGCCAATATTACCTACCTACCTACCATTTTTTTAAAATTTTTTCAGCTTAAAACTGGATCAAATAAGAATATGGTTAGGTACCTACATAATATTTACTGTTCAAAAATAAGGTACTTACTCATAAGAAATTATAAGATCTTAAAAGTTTATTCTGTAAGTTGAAAAAATGTATTAACTTATAAAATTTAGATAAATGAATATGATTTTTTTTTATACACAATATTTAGAAGTCATTATCAAGTAGTCAAAGGGTTTTTACTTCATATTTTAGCACAGGCGCTGAGGTACATACAATATATTGAAGAATTTTTTTAGTGCATGAACTAATAGGCCATAGCAATGGTAGATATTTTAGAAGTAAAAAGAAATAGAAGAACAATATTTCAGTCGTTATAAGATGAAAAAAAATCACTTTAGTTGTAGGTTAGATAGGGCCACGACCCCCTGGACCCTACAACAAAGAAACCTGTCTGTCACCAGGGCAGCAAAAGATTAAAAATTAAGTAACAAAAATCGATTTTCCGTACTTGAACTCCTAGTGTTGTACATGGCCGATTTTTCCACAACGATATTACCTATAAAAGAAGGTCTTACGAGTTGTCGTAGCAGATCACTCGTTCTAGAAGTTCGAGACCGCGAGACCTCTGACCGAAAAATATGAAATAGCACTAGGTGGGTGGTGACCTACGAACGGACCGTAGACGACTGGAGAGTGTGTACTAATCTGTGGACTGGACTACTGAACAAACGTCGAAACGGATCAACAATGCTCCTTATCCAGTGGACGGGACTTCGAATTCCTAATATCAAACTCCAATAGCCACGATACTACTATAATACTACTAAACAATAACAGTAGCAAATAGCGTAGGTGTTATAAAAAATAAACCATGGCCGTGGTGTAAAGTGTAAACAAAAAATGTAGTCAACAACTTCCCGTAACCACTGCTGGTATAACATAATATAATATTATGCCATGAGTAAAATTGGATTCTACTATCTACTATAATTCCACTATAGATTACAGAATAGATAATGTTATCATGACTCTTCACTCCGGTATGTGAGAAATACTACGGTAACACGGTAGCATATCGCATACTAACCACCATATTCAGCCAATCGCAGCGTTGAATTTTGTCATCAAATACGAACATAGCTTGACCATTATAAACCACATCGACACGGCATGATTTGAAGGGTCTGAGCTTTCGGTAGGGCGTGACGTGAGACTTAATTCAAAATCACGTTACTATACTCCGCGTCACGAAAAGTGGTGGCTGTCCGCCACGATCCAAGCGGACTATTTGTTGTAGTGGTTATCAAAGCGCCAATAGTTTGTGCTGCGCCGCTTCCGTTCCGGAACACAAAAATAGAATGTGAATTGAGAACCACTGTCTACGCGATGGGTGAAGTTCGGGGTACGACGGCGGCCAGCCGCCACTTTTCGTGACGCGAACCTTAATAGGTAATATCATGACTAAATAATTGCATTATTTATTTATTTAATCATTGGTAATATTATATAGGCTGGCACCAGACGTCTTGTGCGCGGATCTCAGCAAAAAAAAGGTTTTGTAAGCTCATACGACGATCGTACTTGGTTATTTCACGATAATGGCGTTATCATGACGCGAATTACCATTATCTTAAATCGTGGCTCGTGGTTACCGTGTTTGTCGCAGTTGTTGTTGACGTTGTCGTACCACTACCAGGCAACATCTGCAGCACGGTCTTGGAAGATAATGTCGGAAAACTACCTTATCAGTGTTCCGCTCAATTATGCAAATATGCTCGAAATGTTGTACAATTGAGCGCTGCCAGTTAAACGTATTTAAGATTAGGTTAAAACTTAAAATTACAGAACAATATTACATTATGTTACATTATAGTATATAACATAGACATATAGTATATAATATAGACATATAGTATAAACAATACATACTGGTATATGAAGTTACAGATCCGGAAGTTGTTTCATTTTCATGTTTTTTTTTTGTTTGAGCTATTATTTTACAGGGGCGGCTCGTCAGGGGAGACTTTGAGACTGCATTTCCCCTTGAAAAAAAACCAGCTATTTGTAAATAATAACGTATAATGTATAAATAGAAATATTTTTATTTGAATTGAAAATAAATGTTATCGTTTTCATTGTTTATTATTAGAGATTGAAGGTCACAAAATCGAAAACCTATTAATAGTTATATCGACGGAAATACTATTTTAGTCATTTCTACGACGGTCGCCGGTTCAGTGAAACAGAAGCCCGACAGTTTTAATCGTAACATGTAATGGAATGGTTGGTTGGACGGTGGTGGTCGGGGGGAAGGAATAAGCCGCGTATTGTAGACGCTATTGACTCTGGGTTCACCACATTCTGACTTTCATTGCCGTACCGCTGCTTATAGCTGTTTAATCATTATTTAATAACTATTATATATTTATCTATCTAATTTTTTTTTCTTTTTGACATTTTTTAAAATATTTGTTCTTATTTTAAAAATGCAAAAATACCGAAAAATGTCTGTTATACAATTTAAGTCTCTCCAGAATATAAACTCACTAGCGGCTACTGATCATTAATAGCTAAGTAAGCTTGAAATTCATTTCAATTGCATTGTAAGTCATGTATTTTACATTTTAAAGGAATGTTGATGGGTTATTTGAGTAATTCAATAATTTTAAAAAGAACATCGATTGTTAAATTGATAAATTATTATTTTACTTACTGAGTAAGTATAATAGTATAATAGTACTATACAATATTTCCTACTTTATTCACTATTAAATCATTTTGTTTTGTAATGGCATCAACTGGAAAATGTTGTGCGCAAATAACATCATTTGTGTCCATTGTCCAAGTGTTCAATATTTAAACTTTAAAGTATTCAACCATTCTTCCTTTTCACTTTGATCTTTTGGCGTTACAAATACAGACAACTTTTTTGTCTTGTTACAGCCAAACCAACAAATTTTATTAAGCTATATTAGTTTAATTTGCATTTTAATAATAATAACAGTGGACAATATCGAGTAGGTAATGACTAGGGAACGGATTTATATGTAATAAAAATATAAAAATATATACATATATATGGAAGTATAATTTATAAAATATGTGCTAATAACATCCAAATATGTGGGAAAAAAATTTAATTAAATTTAAAAAAAAATACAATTAAAATTATTGAAATTATTAAAATTATTAAATTATCAAAATGATTTATTGCATTGAATTATTACAATTTCTTTTAAATGTTCGAATGTTAAATGTCGCCTATTAGGTCTCAAAATATTTTTAAAACGGCTAAATGATCGTTCCACGTCAACCAAATGTAATTGGAGAATATTTGAAGCGCATAATATCAGAAGGCGATAATTCCAAATTTTTAGAAGTGTGTCTGCCACTCATTATGTCGTTGATTGTTTTAAAATCAATATAGCCTGGATTTTTTTCTGTAACTGCATGAATTTTCTTTTTTACAACATCTCCTATTGGTCCGCTTACGAGTTTTAATTTTTCAATCGCTGATTCAACAATTTGCATACTATCATTTAAGGACGTATTTTTTGTTTCTAATTTTGTAATTGTATGTGCAATAAAACTAAAATTCACTGAGATGAAAATAAAATTATTTTTCAATGTTTCATTTTGCATAATATTTTGAGCTTTTCCAATAGCGAAGAAGTTTCTGAATCTAATTTTGAAATAATTTCTTGTATTTTCGAAAAGTTTTCACAATAATATTGAGCAGCTAGCAACCATGTGTCCCACCTGGTAATTATGGGCTCGGGTGGTAGAGAAAGATCAGGGTATAATTCTTTAAAAATTGTGGTACGGTTAGGAGCTTTCAAAACAATTTTTTTACATTAGCTATGAGAGAATCGACGATAGGGTATTCTGCTCTGATTGTCTCTGCCACACGATGAAGACCATGCGCTAAACATGTAAGATGTATTAATTTTGGATAAAAAATATTTAATGCTTTCCCTGCCTTCACCATATAAGGATCTTTAACGAACAAAAGTACATTTTCGTGTTTTACTCCACTTGGCCAAAGAAAACTCATAGAGTAATTAAACAGTTTTGCTATTGTCTGATGATTTGATTTTTCAAGTTTTTCACAGTTAAATAGTATTGAATTAGTAGGCTCATCGCACAATTTGCCTATAACTACATTCCCAATGTACCTCCCCTCTACGTCTGTCGTTTCATCGATGGACACCCAAATGGGCCCATCTTGAATCTCACCTCGAATTGAAGAAAGTTTTTCTAGATAAATATCTCGAATATAGTTTTTTCGCAATGTGCTTTCATCTAGAATATTTTGACCGGTATATTTTTCCAAAAACATTTTGAAATCATGATTTTGTAATTTAAATAATGGTATATCTGAACGAATAAGTGCAAGATAAAGGTCAGTATAAAAAACGGACTTACTATTACTAGATGTAGGTGTTGACGAGTAAAAGCTTTGTTTAAATTTTTCTTTACGTTGTATGCTTTCTTTATGTTTTCGTGTTGCAATGTGTTGTATAACTAAAGACCGCTGAGCTGTTGATACTGGTTTTTCACACGCGACACACAGTAGAACTTGACCATCTCTTTTAAATGTCTCGTTTGGAAATTCATTAACGTACTGACGAACTTTGGGCGAAATAGTTTTACTACTTTTTGGCATTTTTGAAATTTGTGTAGGTACGTACGATTACGGTTACAGCCAAACACTAACTATAAAAACCTATTGCTATCGCCTGTCAACCCGTCTGCTATCGATTGTCAATCGTATATAAATGTATACTATATTAAGATATCTATTATATCTATATGAAAATTATTATAAGATAACGACTATAAAAAATACTAAATATTTGCTCCACGTGGATCGTCACAGTTCATAATGGCTGTTTTTAATGGCTTGAAAACGTATAAACAATGAAATGATAAAATATGTTTAAAAATATTTACAAATTAGTGAAATATGTAAAAATATGTAATTATACCAAAATATGTAAAATAAAAGTAGCATCATTTTAATAGGAATGATTTAAATCATGAACATTTCTTATCGATTCTTAAATATCTTGTTTTAATAAAAATATGCATTTACATATAAATCCGTTCCCTAGACCCTAGTAATGACCAATGACTGCTTATTTCAGTATTTCAATAGCGGTCCTGAGTTTAATTTAAATATATATCTGTTACTGTAGTATGGTTTTTATTTTTTTTTAAATGTATTACTATATTAGTCTAATGTTTTAACATGTATTATCGTCATCATCAAGACAATTGTGCGGATTTGATCATCAGACTCTTGTGAGGGGTCAGCATAGATCCTGTACTTTTAAGTAAAGGTAAACACAATGTGGTGTTCATACAACAACAATAAAAACAATAGTTATTATAGGTATTATAATTATTTTAGATGCTGAGCCGAGCAATTAATGCATTGATTTTACAATGATGTGTGTGTGTTTTTAAATTGTTTTTTTCTGTCTGTTATTACATTTTGGGGTAGAATAAATCTCTCCACAACGGTGAACTTAATATACTTTCACGTTGCCAAGACATTCAATATATTTTATTGAGATTTGGTACGTAACAAACAAATTGTTGATCAATATTCTTTATGGGCTATTATTCTGTTGAAATAAATACAATCGTCCCCAACAATACGAAAAATAAGAAACAACATCTTACTTGTTCAAACAAAATTTTTGTTGCATAATTCTACAATGTATGTTTATATAACATATTGTAAGAGTTTTTTAAACACTTTGAAGGTGATTATTACAATTTTATATAATCTGATGATGATGTGATGAAAATATTTATAATATTTATCAAAGTCAAGTATTTATTGTTCAGTATTGCATTATATTGAAATTGCTTATAATAAAAATTACTATATTATGATTTTTTTTAGGGGGGGGGGGGATTACCT